TAGTGAGAGAGATCCTCTAGCGTCCTCATCATCGTTTCTGGCAGGTAGTACTAGTGGGCATGATGATTTTGGTGCCGGGAATGGCTTGGAAAGTAACATTCGGGCTTTATCGTCTCATGAAAGTAATGACTTTCAACAACTTGCTAAATGGCTCGAGCAGGTTCTTCCTTTCTCGCTGTTGTTGTTGGTTGTGTTCATCCGCCAGCATTTGCAAGGTGATATTTTTAATTCATCACTTGTATATATCTCTGATGCTAATTTTGGCTTCTGAATCTCTTAAATGCTCCAATGAAATTATGAACAACATTTACTTTCATTTCGCTTGTTTTTACTATTTGCCTTGTTTTCTAGTTGTTTGCAGATATTTCTGAGTAGGATATGCTGGTAGGATATGCTAGATTCAATGATATGATTGAACAGATGTCCTGGCTAATTCAGTATGGCTAGTGGGCATGGGTTCTCGATAATGTTGAATCTGAATAACTTGGCCACTCGATGTGTGTGGCAAGCTTTGGCCTGTAAAGGGATGGAAGTCATGAAATTAGTGTGATTTATATATGCATTCCCATCATATTTGGACACTATGAGGTTGTCCTACCTTGTTAAATTTCTACGATTTGTGATCAGTTTGCTGTTCCCATAATTCTTCCTTGTAAGGTTGTCTTCTCTTCTTGTTTGCATCCTATTATTCCCTTCTGAGTAGGAAAAATAAAAGATGCAGCAACTTTTCGATTCTTCTTGGTAGTTGTGCTTGATGAGCTGCTTCTTATGCGTGGTTTTAGTTTCCTCTGATTATGTACTTTTAATGCTTTCAAAATAGGTTGGTAATATTAATTTATAAACTTGCAGGTTTCATTGTCACAATTTGGATTTCAATTGTGATGTTCAAGTCAAATGAAATGGTTAAGAAGCAGACAGCTCTAAAGGTACTGTTCTCAGATTTTTTTTACAAGTCATGCTCCATTCTAAATAACTCCTTTTAGCTCCCCGACAGAAAATAATGAGGCTCAATATATATATATTTTTTATAGGGAGATAGGAAAGTCTCATTTCTCGTCAGTATCTCACTTGTCTTCATGCTTCATGTGATGTGCATTTACTGGTGGTATCAAGATGATGATCTTTCATACTCACCACTCATCTTGCTTCCTCCAAAAACAACGCCTCATTTCTGGCATGCAGTATTCATCGTTCTGATTAATGGTATGAATATCTATACTAGTATCATAAAGTTATTCAATTGTTCTATTTATTTGGGTAAGACATTATTGTTTGCTTTAAGCCCATGTGTTGGCATGAAATCAATGTTCATAGTAAATGTTTTGGATCGAAACTGAACTCTCTACAGTTTTTGGGGTTTCATTTTGTTTAGTTCCTGTATGCTGTGCATTGAAGATTGGTGGAAGATGAATAAATTTGTTGCAATACTGTATCTTTCGCTACAACGTGATCATGGTTCTTGCGCCTTTTGCACATGTTGATATGTCTCTAGTTCATGAAAATCTCAAAGTTAATCATTTGCTTGTGGTAGTATCATTTTTTTTTTTGGGCTTTTTCTTGCTCTGATGGTCTTAAGCATCATCTCATTTAGCCACTTGCTTCAATCTATGAAATTTTGTTCAAGTATGTGATGATGAGCAACAACTTTTTGAATCGATTCAGATATTAAATATGCTCTATCTCTGCGTTGGCTGTGTTCCTTTTTTTTAAAACATACATGTAATGTCTACCAATTATTATTGGTATTATTTTGGTCTTGATTTTATAATTCTTGATGGTATTCATGTTCACCAACTCATGGGTATAATGACTTTCAGACGTACTTGTGCGGCAAGCCGCAATGTCTTTCAAGTGCTTGCTACTTATATATTTCAAGAATGATAGGGGTCATAGCTTCCGTCTGCAGGTGATTAGTCGCATCTTTACTACTTTTGTTTGTGTTTATTTTCCTCTCCAACTGTGTTCTGAAACTCAGCTACTTACTTGAAGGCTCAAATATTAACGCTGGTTGAGCACGCACTACTGCTGTACCGTGCCTTGTTGCCAGCTCCTGTTTGGTACCGATTTTTCCTAAACAGGGAATATGGAAGTCTCTTTTCATCGCTGACCACAGGGTTGTACCTAACCTTCAAGTTAACATCTGTTGTTGAGAAGGTACTTTTCCATGCATTGAGATTAGGGTTTCTAGTTCTGTATTTGAAGATCTTTCTGTATGAAGCTGAATTATTCCATCGTATTTAATCTTCTGTTTGCTGAATAGGTCCAATGCTTTCTTTCTGCCTTAAAAGCATTATCAGGAAAGGATATTCTCTATGGTGTTCATGCTACAAACGAACAGGTAAAGATCCAATTTTTTTGTTGTAGTTAGTTAAGTTTGAATCTGGAATCAGTCAATATTATTTGAAGCCAGATGGTTTGTTACTAAAAATAATATTAAACAAAATAACTAATCTACGTAATAATTTGTTATGAAATTAATAAGTAACTTTTGGTCTTTGTGCGGTTTGAAAAAAAAAATGCTTCACTTTTTGACACTTTAGTTCAGTCGTGCTTCTTACAATATCCAAGCAGGCCATGGAAGGACGAGATTACTGGAGAGAATATCATAATTGTCATTAAAATTAAATTCTGGATTGGATAACTTTGCCACCATCACAAAATCTTTTACCACAAATATGAATTTGTCTCCACGTAGGATCACACAGAATTGGTGTAGCTTGTTCGGATCAGTAGAATCATTGGTTCTTTGGGATTCTACTTATCCTGCCAGAATGTGTGTGACTTGGATTGGATTGAGTTCTTTTGCATTTGATGGGTTATACAAGTACCTCAAATAAAAAGGTCCAATAAGCCAAAGCACGACTTTTCTGTTGAAATTATTGTGAAGGGAAACCCCAGGACTGTTTTATATGCAGAAGTTTCTTAGCCTTTTCCTAGAGGGAAAGAGAGATTATATCGACTCATTAAATTTGTTGAATTTAAAACATTTTCATGTGTGATTCTAAATATTTGCGTTCAAATGCAGGTAACTGCCGCAGGCGACCTTTGTGCTATATGCCAGGAGAAGATGCGTGGTCCTATCCTGTTACGCTGCAAACACATTTTCTGTGAGGAGTGTGTGTCAGAATGGTCAGTTTCATAACTTCCTCATATTCTTCATCTTGAAATGTTCAAATGGGAACTCCTTAAGACATTACACAGAAGTATAAACTTATAGGGAATGGCTTTTTAAGGCCGGTTTCCAAAATAGAATCGGTCAGCATAGGCAAGAAATGAGCTCGCGAGTGTTTCAATGAAATTCCCACCGAGAGTTCATAATCATTGTTTTAGCTATTTGTTTGTTGGATTTTATTTGAGGATGAGCTTCGGAGCAACATGTGACCTGGAGGTTATGGGTTCAAATCTTGGAAAGAGCCTTTCTACTTGTTATTCTCCATGAAAATCTTTGCTTGTTAGTTGTTATTGATTTGCATTAGTAATTTTGTCAGTGACTTCATAGAATATGAGGTATTCCTCTGGCTATTGCTTATGAGTAATGTATCAAATACAAAGCATTTGTTCAGCCGCGCATTTGCCTCGTACAAGATACATACAAAATTTGTAATTGTAATTCTGATTTGACCAACAAGGAGACACTTGTTTTTCAGGTTTGACAGAGAAAGAACTTGCCCGCTATGTAGGGCATTGGTGAAGGCTGGCGATATTCGGTCTTTCGGGGATGGATCGACAAGTCTGTTTTTCCAGCTATGTTAATGCTTTGGGTTGGATCAAGCACATGGAACCGTCATTTCCTGAAATCTTAATGAATGCTACTTTGATCGGCTGATTTACCTGAAGAGCTTCAAGGGAAGCATCAAACATTGATGGCTTAATCACTCATTCCTATGTTATCTGTTCAGATGTGGGCTTCACTTAACTGCCAGACGCTCAGACAATGGAGAATCCACTGGATCATGTTTCTCACATGTCAAATATTCTGATGAACACAAATTTTGTTCATTATGTTGGACGGTTGTTAAATTCATGTCCCTATTCTTTATCCTTTGTATTATTGTATATCCTTCACATGTTTGTGCAAATTTGTCAACCGTTCGTCCGCCTCTTTCTGCCACTGCAACAGTTATAGTTTATATTTATACTCAACTTTCTTTCGTTGAATGAGCGTTTATATTTGTTCTTTTATTTTCTTGTGCTTCGTTCTTAATGCCTTACTTCGTTTCAGCCATCTGGCCCTCTGGTTCGATATATAAGATGCAGCTCTTGGGATAAACTGCATCCTATTTATAAGTTGCGCTTAAAAGATGTTAGAAATTTTAACTTTTTTTTTTTGTTTTAAATTTTTGCCCATTAATCACATCATATCGTTGTATTCCTCCGATCCTAATTATAAGACTCAATTGACTTATTTGAGGAGATTAAGGAAGTAAGTTAAGTTGGTTATTTATAATAAATAAGTGTTGTCATTCTTAAAATATCCTTGCTAATTAAGTATATTGGCTAAAACTATCATTATTAAAAGGATTATCTTAGAAAAAAATGCATAAATATAAGAGACAAAATGGATTGGGTCTTATAATTAGGACTAAATAAAAAGTCAAATTGGGTCTTATAATAAGGACCGGAGGAGTATTAATTATTCATCACATGCCGCTTTTTCCCACCCATGATTTGTCTCTCATTCTCTCTCACACATAAATAAATAAATAAAGACATTTTTAACACATAAAATATATTTTTACAGATTTATTGTATTTAACTAATTTTAAATAATTTTTTATGTACATAATTAGGTTCTTTGTGTCTTGCTTCCTCTTATACAGGATATCAATTAGCTTCTAGAAGAATCCTTTGATTCATAATAATAGGATAAGTCACTTGGAGGTAATTGAAACTTACTTTCTCTGGTTTTCTTTTTTTAATATTTTTTTATTAAATTGGGTAGTTTAAGTAAATAGTTAAATTAGTTAAAAATTATAAATATATAAAAATTGAAACTTTTTTTTTATCAATATATCCTTATTTAATAAAAGGACAAATAAAATGAGAAATACTAGTAATGAATTTAAGTATGAAAGAGAATGTAGGATGAGAAAAAGATGATGAGAGAAAATAAAAAGTTAATTAAGGACAAAATCAGTAAAAATAAAATTAATGTTTAGGTACTCCTAAATAGGATCTTATAAAAAGAATCAAACAATTTCAAATTTGGGGATTTTATATAAAAGATCAAAGGGAATATTTGTCAATTTTGCCTCTATAGTTAATGGTTAAATATGATCCGTTATATTTTTTTTCCTCTCCTTCAAAGTCTTGACGAAAATTTAATTCAAAACAAATTTAATGAGGTAACCATTATTCCTTGATTCTAATAAAATAGTTGGAAGTCACTTATATTTTGAATTGGATAGAGTATTCATAAAACTGGAGGGATTATTTTACGACTGATAAGCTGTACTTTTTTTTTTAATTTTGGTAAACGTCTAAAGAAAATTCTTTAATTTTAGAGTTAAGGTACACATAATTCAGAAGGTGTACCTAGCAGCCTAAACTATTTAAAGGTGTAATTCTGCCCCTAATGTATTAATGGAGGAGCATTTATACCCCTTTATTAACAGAACCCTAACTCTGTTTGACAGCCGAATATTTATATTTTTTTTAGCAATGACACGAACTGCCACCTGTGTATCACAAAAAAAAAAATCCGTATGATCTGGATCCCAATCCATCTCATCCGAGTTAAACCGAAGCACTTAGCAACATGGAAGCAAATCGCTACATTGCTATCACCACCTCATTCAAACAAGCTAATCACTACTTCGATGTCAATGAAGGAAGAAAATCTTCAATAAATGAAGAAGTAAAAAAAAAAAAAAAAACTCATTCAGTGTAGAAACAGATGAAGAAGGGGCGATGGCATCAGATCAAGAATTGAAGTTACCCAATCTACACTCCCTGTTTCAAATATGGAAAATCCAAAAAACTAATGTTTTAGGTCCTTACATGTTTGATGAACTCAACTTGATTTGGAAATGGAATGGCACAAGAATAGAGAAAGAAAATCAAATCACAGATCTCATCGTTGCTATTCACATACCCCACCAATCGCTGTCTCCTCCCCAGATCTCATTGTTCACTAGGGGTTGTCGTCGCTAGATGAAAGATATCGTTGTTGCCATCATTCACCTGCATCAGGTTGCTAGACCGAAGGTGGGTCGTCGCTCAATGAAGAAGGTCACTGTCACCATTGTTGTCTCTACAGAGGAGGCCATTGTTCCAGTCATTTACTGGCTCATCAGAGAAGATGGTGGAGACAGTAATGGGAAGGAGGGATCGCGTTCTGCTGAGAAGGGCTGAGCTTTTCTTCTTCTTTTTTTTTAATACCCAGGTGGCAATTTTAGATGATACGTGTCTTTATTTGGAGGGAAAAAAATGCTTAGTTGTCAAACAGAGTTAGGGTTCGGTTAATAGAGGATGAAATTACTCCATTTTTAATAGATTAAGGGCAAAATTACACCAATAAATAGTTTAGAGTATTGGGTGTACCTTAAAAAATAGCTCAGAGTGCTTAATGTACCTTTACTCTTAATTTTATATATGTAAAACTATTTTTTGATCTCAGCAGTCACTTGTAATTCCATCGTTTGTAAATCTATCATGCTGTCTCTCTTATTTACATGAAATAATACTTACTCTAGAGATTTTTAAAAGTACAACTTCCTCATTTAAATCTTTTAGAATTGTTGCTGGTATTTTTAAAAAAATTTATTCATGAGCCTTAAATTTTTTTTTCCGCTAGAATTAGAGGGGTTAATTTATACCATTAAGCATTGATCTTAATAAAAATTATTACGATCACTTTAATGTAAGAACGAATTTATGGGCAATACTGCATTACGCGCAGTATTTATAGAATTAAAAAGAAAAAGACAGGAGCAACGGCGATGGATTTCCCAATTTCGCAGTTAGCCAGGCGGATCCGACTCCGAGCCCGATCTGGATTCTCTACTCCTCAGGCTCAGTCCTCCTCCCCCGCTCCCAGTGATGTTTGGATCGCAGGATTGATCTGACCATTTAGTGCTGCGAATCCAGACCGTCCCTCGTTTTTAATGTACCAACCAGACCGTCCTTCCGAGTGCATGCTAATCTGGTTCCCTCCTATCATTTTTTTAATTGACAATGATAATTCCTATCATTCTCCTTTCCGATAAGTTTTCAGCGTCATTCTCTATCTAATGAAAATTCTCGATTGAATTGTTTTCAAGATTGACAATCAATTTCTGCCGCATTTTCCAACGAGACTGTTTTGTTTTACGCTTCTGAGTCATGTTCTTTTTCTGATCTTGGAATCCCTTTCTGGGTTTTGCGCCTCCAATTCTTCAATTTTTGCTATACACTAGTCTTGAACAATTCTTTAAGGTGCTGGGGGAGTCGGATCTTATTGTTGCTCTTGAAAAAGCTTTTGCACTCATAAGTGCTTCTTCGCCGCAGAAAGGTCAAAGGCGATCAGTAAAGGTTTGTCATTGTGTTCAACTCATGAAGTTTTTTGCCTGACTTTTCTTTTTCATTGATTTTTATGATGGTCATTTTTTCATGCTTCACGTTGAAAGAAAATATCCCTTCTCCTGGGTTTTCTATTCACTCATCTCGGGCAAAATAAATTCTTTTGTTTTATATTTCACTAGTCATCTCAGGCTCTGTCGTTAAACTTGAAGTTTGTATTTTTGTTCTGGGAAACTTTTGGTGGGATTGATCGTGGTGCAATAGATTATTGCTGAAAGGAGGGAGAATTTGCTACTTGTTAAAAGAGTTGCTCTGGTGGTTATCTTCAACTCAGATACCCTTCGCCATGAAAAAACAGTGATCATATGATTGTCTGTTATTTTTTCCACGCTTAGTTGGGGGGCATGGCCAACATGCGCATACTTTCCATTTGTTGACAGACATTTGTTAAATCGATATCCCTTTTATGTTAAAATAATAATTACTGTCTGATAGCATGAGCGTTAGCCATGTCGCAAATACTAAACATGTGATGAGAATAAAGTCCACTTTATGATTAAAGTGACGATTTTGGTCTTCTTCATAACAAGATCGTTTACCTTGATACATTATTTGGGCTCCGTCGACTATGGAACTTTGGATGCAGCAAATGGTTCTTCTTCAAAATGTTGTTTTTTTTTTTTTTTGGTTGGTATCATTGAATAATTCAGCTGATTTTGGATATCATAGACATAATTTCCTAGAATGGTGGATCGGAAATTTTTAGCTTGTCAATTTAAGTATGAGTAATGACTTGAGCTATTAGTCTCTGATTGTGATACTCGACAGTTACGATTGCGGTGTTGATCAAGCTGAAATAAACTGGAATCTATTGTAAATACCTAAATGATACAAGCAAGGAAGTGAGTTTTTCACCGGGCAGAGTGGCTGGAGTGAGAACGGGGAGTATGGTTCTTGTTGCTCATGTTGTTGGCTTAAACACTATTTTTCAGGAATATGAATTATTAATCCTTCCAGGTTGAAGCATTGTGTCAAGGTTCAGGGCTGGGTTTGGCTGCCCGATAGACTCCTGATATCTTCTGTTATACATATCTTTGCATAATGTCCAGGCTTTAATTTTTCCATTACTTCTGAGATTCCTTGTTCATTCTGCTGTTAATTGGGAATTTTCCTCTTAGCCATGCCTAGAACTCCTGTTTTCTCCCTTTCATGTGGTATTCATAGTGTTTTGCTCTTCATTTAGTTTGTGTTATCCAACCATTCACCTCATGTAGAATAGGATCATTTATCAATTTTCAAAATTTCATTTGCTTTTTCAAATTCTGAGCCTGTCATCATAGCATCTAAGCGCATAGCACAAGTTTATTCTCTTTAAAGCAATTTGACCATGTGAAATTGGTTAATTTCAATCTTCTGTATGAATTTAGACGCATGGCAGCTACAGAAGATACAGGCACTGCCCTTTCTAGAGATTTTTAAGTAACTTTAACTGTCAGATGAAACATAGAGAACTTGATTTAAACAACTCACTTTAAATATCCTGCTCTTAGACAATTGAAAAACCTGAAGATTTAGGATCCCACCTGTCAAGTGGCTTTTAAATGACTATTTTTCCTTGCTACGTGTACTGTCTTCCACTGTTTGAGTGAGCAGCGAAAGATCATCTATTCTTGGATATAAACAATAATGTAACAGCTAGGAATATGAATAGTCACATTTAATAGTTGATGATTAAGGATGAGAAATTGAAGCGTGCCTGCATACCCAAATAGTTTGCTTTGACTGGTCACATTGGTATTTGTTGCTGTTTATGCTTGCTTTGCATATTTTTCTTCAGCTTTTTTATCACTAATTATTATATGCAATATGTATAAAAAATGTTTTTGTCTTTTCTGACAGAAATTGACTTGGGAGCCTCAAATTTCTATAGTTCTAGTCATCCATACTCACCAAATGCAGCAAGGGCTCACAGCTACTCCCTTGTCTCATTCAAGCTCATCTGTTTCAACACCTCGTGGAATAGGTCCAACTTCATGGATAGGCGACTTTGAATTCCACAGTGCTGGGTCGTCTGCTGATTTTCCCCAACAAAATGCAGATAGTAATTCAAAAGATGAAACAGAGTTGCTCTCTGTGTCTTGGAATCAGGACTTTGGTTGCTTTTCTGCTGGCACTAGCCATGGCTTTCGAATTTACAATTGTGTGCCTTTCAAGGAGACTTTTAGACGTGACTTGAGAGGTGGTTTTAAAATTGTAGAGATGCTTTTCCGGTGCAACATTCTAGCACTTGTTGGCGCTGTAACTAATCCATTTTACCCTCCCAATAAAGTTATGATTTGGGATGATCATCAGAGCAGGTGCATCGGTGAATTTACATTTAGGTCTGAGGTTCGTGCAGTGAGATTAAGACGCGATCGAATTGTAGTAGTTCTTGAGCACAAGGTTTATGTTTATAACTTCATGGATTTGAAGCTTCTTCAACAGATTGAGACTCTGGCTAATCCTAAGGGATTGTGCTGTCTTTCTTATCATCCAAATACATTTGTTTTGGCTTGTCCAGGTGTTCACAGAGGACAAGTCCGGGTTGAACACTTTGGTCTGAACATGACAAAATTAATTGATGCTCATGATTCTCAAATTGCATGCTTAACTTTGACAATGGATGGGCTCCTTCTTGCAACTGCTAGTGCAAAGGGCACTCTAATTAGAATCTTCAACACAATGGATGGCACTCGGTTACAGGAAGTAGGTTACTGGACCATGTATTTTGATTATTTTGATAACTATTATTGTCTCTGACCTAATTCTGTGTCAATTTACTGTGGAACTTATCCATTTTTTTTACGCATTCACTTGAATAAGACTGGTGGCTAGAAAATCACCCTCTTGTAAAATCCTTTATTTTATCTATATTTTTTCCGTGATCTTCTGATGATTGTTCTACTGTATGCAAACAAACTGCAAACTCTATTCAAGTTTAAAAACCTCACGAGGTTAACTTTCCAGTAGTTTTTTTTCCTGTGAAGGGGGAAATCTGCAACAATGTCTTCTACATTTTTATAACACAGATTTCATGTTGAAAATTCCTCAGGTAGTTTCACCTATTGTGGTTTTATGTGATTTTCCTGCTAGTCTCATGGTTGTACCTTGCCATCTTTTTTTGTAAAGACAGAAGGCGTCTACTTCTCAAGAATCAAGGATTGACCCTAAAATTTTTTGAAATTAGTAGCTTTTTCTTCAACAAACTCTAGTTTGTTCCATGATTGTGAATTTTCTTTAATTCTCCATGTAACAATCTTCTGTGCAGGTGAGAAGGGGGGTTGATAGAGCTGAAATCTATAGTATTGCTTTATCGCCAAATGTCCAGTGGTTGGCAGCATCAAGTGAGAAAGGTACCATTCATATGTTCAGCCTGAGAGTCAGAGTTGTTGGGATGGATACATTGCCTGCCCCAACTACACCCCAAAGCCCTGCACTGCTTCATCAGAATTCTTCGACCTCTTTAGATGCATTGCTTTCTCCAAATACTGGTTCTAACCCCAGTTCATCATTGTCTTTCATGAGAGGTAAAAGATTTACTTGAATATGATGATTACTTGCTAAGCACTTCTTATTAATATAATTTCAAGGTTTAAAAAATTTTGTTCTTTTTATGTGTTGCCTAAGATGTCAATATGTTGACCTGAATATGGTTAGACTTTTGAATGCTTAGAAAACATGGTATCATCATTTTATTTACGTCTATCTAATCAACTGTCTGAAAGACTCTGCAAAACCCTTTGACGGGGGGCTACGTCCCCATTATTTCTGTCTTTTCAAACCAAGTCATCTGAAGCCATTATTAGACTAATGCTTATATATTTCCCTAGCAGTGTGGATTTTCCTCTTTTTCACAACCAGTTCATCGTTCTGTTACTTTCTGTTAAGCTACAAACTGCATAATATTATGGTAAACATTGGGTCATTTTGATTTTTCTAATCACTTGATCTCTTTGACTACATGGTAGGGGTTTTGCCAAAATATTTTAGCTCAGAATGGTCATTTGCACGGTTCCGCCTGCCAGAGAACACGCAATTTATTTTGGCTTTTGGACCTCGGAACAGTGTCATAATAGTTGGCTTGGATGGGAGGTATGGTCAATTTAATTACTGCAATTATTACCAAAAAAAAGAGGGTCTTGATTTTTTTTAGAATAAGGAACCTCATTCCGTGTGTTACTGTTGCATAGAATTTGAGAAATGAACGGTACTACTAATAATTCATGAACAATGTTGCTTGTTATAGAATACATATATACATATATGTATTATATTGATATATTGATTCTCCTATAAAGTTAAATGCATATCTAAAGCCTTGAATGCCCGTATGAAAATGAGAACTAATGCTGGGGGCAGAAAAATTGTGCATTTCCCCTATCTGTGTGGTTCGTTTATATCTCCTAACCTTTTTAATTAGCCACCGAGGAACGTTTCAGAATGCAGTGCCCCGCGCTCCTTTAATTCATTCAAAAACATCTCACAACTTATTCTCTGAGTCCAAGGTCTAAGTTACCTTGAAAACTTTCAAACTTTGTCGACGATGCCATTTTGGTGCCACATGATATGCTCATTGACTTTTGGAAGTTTACAAAGGATACTATATGCCTATGCACCCCCCCCCCCAAAAAAAAAAAAATAAAGAAAGAAAATTGAATTCTACTGATTGTCTCTTTCAATATCTTCATTCTCACATGGTGCTATCTCTTTCTCCATGTTATCAGTTTTTACAGGTGCAGCTTTGATCCAGTCCATGGCGGAGAGATGTTGCAGCAGGAATATGTTCGGTTTTTGAAGTCTGAAAGTAGGCCAACGTGAACTATTAATTGTTCAACATTTCAATCATCACTTCATAAGTCACAAAAATTAGAAGAACAAAGTTATTAGGTACAATTAGGGGTACTGGTTAAGTTCCAATCTGCAAATACGTCAGCTTGTTGAAATCAAATCCTAATCCTAACTATCATGATTTCACCTACAAACACTATATTGTACCTTAGAATAAGGTTTTCTTATGAGTCGTCTGGCAGCCGCAACTTATTATTTTCGTGTAAATATGAAGTGTACATCTTATGCAAGAGAACAAGTCTTTGTAAATATGATGGCTTCCCACATTGAATGATCTTGAGGATTTTTCTTCTTCTGCTGTTTATAGCGCATATTTTGGGGGAGAATGTGAATATAATTAAAGGCAAAAGCACTTTAAAAAATACTTTCACGTGTCTGACATATTTATCTTAAAGTCCATAAAATCACTCTCAAAAAACTAATCCAAACACCCCCTAAAAAGAAAAAAAGAGATCAATTAATGGTTGAATATCCGTTGCTAACTGTAACCACCTTACTGGAAATTTTCAATGCAGCATCCGAACAAATTGTAGTTTTTTAAAGCTTAGCTTTACTCTTCGTGGTTTTGATTTGAACTACTGATCATGGTCATTGGTCATGATGATAATATGCACTGGGAAAAGGAGTTGATTATTCCCCAGGCCTTATCTTTTTCCCATCATGCATCATCAAAATCTTGTGTGTGTGTGTGTGTGTGTGTCTGGCACTTAAAACTATGACATTTCTAATATTTGTAACAACTTTTAAATATAATTACTTTTAAATTGTTAGAAAACTAACTAATTTATATAGTTTGAAATTGTAATACATCATCAAAAACTGGCACAGCAAAAACAATTTAATATCAAAGAGAACCAAAAAACCTCAAACTATTTCTTCACGTCTCTAGTTATTGATGAAACCATGCAAATATTCTACACACATTATTGGAGGAAAAAATTGTTATCACGAGATAGAATGAAATTCCACTTAATAGAAAACTCTGCACTCGCCAAATTTATACGACTCAGTATTAAGCACAAGGCTCAAGCAAAATCAGGCTTCATAGATCAAAGATTTCTCTTCTTCGTCTTTGATAGTGTTAACCATGAGAGCCACCTGATTCATACATGGCCTGGCTACTGGGGAACGATGAACACATTTGATAGCCATTCGAAGCAGATTCACCAATCTCTCTTCACTCGCATACTCTGATATCAGTTCCTTGTCAAACACCTCACCAGTCCATTCTTCCCTCACAACAGATTGGACCCACTCCGCCAAGTCAATGCCATCGTTCTTCACTAACTTCCCTGTGAGTAGCTCAAGAAGAATCACCCCAAATCCATACACATCTGCCTTCAACGCATTTGGTAGCCCAGAACCAGAAGGACGAGGGCTTGCAGAAGATAAGCTCAGTTCATCGTCCATGCTCATCACACCATACTCGCTTATGCGTGCCTCCATGTTATGGCTCAGCAAAATGTTGGAGGATTTCAAGTTTCCATGTGCAATACCTTTCTCCCCAACCTCTTGATGCATGAAGGCTAATCCCTCTGCTATCATAGCTGCAATTCCTAGCCTGCTGGTCCAATCAAATCCCTTTGACTCGCCTGAAACGCATGTATAGTATTACGAAGATCATGCGTAAATCTATGAGGATGAAATTAAAAGTTGAATAGGAGACAAATATAAGATATTTACCATGAAGAAGCTGGAATAAGCTTCCATTTTCCTGGAATTCGTAGACCAGAAGCTTCTCTTGATTGGAACAATAGAAAGCAAGTGGTGAGAGCACATAAGGGTGCTTCACTTGGCCTAGAGTTTCCATTTTTAGCTTGAAGTCATGGCTGGAAGTAGCTGAGTCCTTGATCCTTTTCACAACCACTGTCTTCCTGTTGTCCAGCATCACCTTATAAAGACTACCATACTTACCTCTGCCAAGCAATTCTGCAGGGGCTCTCAGCAAGTCCTCAAGTCTCAATTCACTTACCACTGGTTGTGTAAGAAGTATAAGTGACTGTGAAACCGTCCCCCCTTCAGAGTTGACTGAAAACTCGGATCTGCTTATTACCGATTTTTGTCCGCTTGAAGCATTGCCAGGTTTGTCGAACACATCATGATCACTACTTGATGCGACCTTATTTGATGCTTCAGCCTTCTGTTTTTTCTTCCTTGTACATAGTTTATAAAGTATGAAAAGGATAATTACCAAACCCAATGCAGCATATCCTGAATACATCAGGATTTGATCTTTAGAAGGACCCTTTGATTCATTTGATCCATTCATTTCATTTGATCCATTTGGTTCTACAGATTTTTCATTAAGAGTGTGAATGGCACAGTTCTTCTGCAATGGTTGCCCACAGAGTTCAGGGTTACCCAAAAAGCTATCTTCAGAGATTCGGCCATGCACATCTGGGATTCGGCCACTAAAATTGTTAAATGAAACATTAAACTTGTAAAGGTTGGAGAAATCAAACCCGGGTATCGCCCCACTGAGGTTATTGTTCTGGGCGAGAAACACATTCAGCCCTGAGATTCTGGACAAGCCTGGCAAGTGACCAGAAAACTTATTGTTCGAAATGTCAAGCCTTTTCAGATTATTTAACACGGCAAGCGAAGGAGGAAGTTCCCCAGAAAGTTGATTTCCCCCTAAATACAAGCGAGTTATCTGTTTGCAGTTTCCAATCTCATCTGCTATTCCTCCTCTGACGTTGTTTCCACCAAGACTCAGAATTATCAAAGAATCAGCTAGAGGTTGACTATTGCAGAGAATAGCAGCATCAAGAGTTCCAGATAAATTCAACCTGTCTAGAAATAGCCTTCTTACTGATACATTACGAGAATCGCAGGCTACGCCTTGCCAGAGGTCCGTACAAGGATCAGAGTCTCCCTTCCAATTCATAGTAGAAAAACTCTGCTGGCCAGAGAGTTTGGCAAGGAAGCTTATCATTGAGCTCTTGACCTCCTCCTCCACACAATGTGTCACTTTAATGTGGAAAATACAAAAAAGGAGGACTACCCACATGCGAATTCCTTCCATTGCGGCCGAAACTGATAATATGAGGACGAGATTTGATCCCAAGTCTTGAGCTTTGAAGTAAGAGATGGTGTTTGAAGGCAAGGACGAGAGAAAGTTATTGTTGCCGGAACTAGAATGAGTCAGATTGGCTAATTCCACAATGAGAACCTTTGTAATGTAGCAGAGAACGAGGATCCCTTGTTGATGGATGATATAATATTTGGAAAATACGAGCCGGCAGGTATACATACAGTTAAAGCAGATATGTCATTTCCTTTACATCAGCTCCAATCATATGGCATTATATGCCTTGCTCATCATCAACGTGTTAGTCAAACTTCTTGTATTATAGACATGTGTGATATTTCAATTGTTTGTTAGAATAGGTATAGATGTAACTTTATTTTCGTATTGTTAAGTTTCTCATAGTGATTGTTTGATCACACATCAAATTTAAATATAGAGTGAGTGATATGTTATGGTCATTTTTGGATTGAATTGCTTAGTGCTGATTTTGCCGGAAACATTCATTTTATAGTCAACGTTGTGTTAGACTTCCTCAATTTTTATTTTTATTGCCACAGTTTAATTTTTGCTTGTTAATTTGTAAAGTCTAATTATACATATGTTGTGAATCCCGATAATTCATCATATATAATTGCTTTTTTAGTGCACGAAAATGTAATGCGAGACAATTTATTAAGGGGTTTTCAGACACTATTTTATACAAGGAGAATTATCAAGAGGTTCAAGAAAGAAATTTAATTATCAAAAAGTCTTAATGACAAATGAACAGCCTAAATTTATTATTATTTTCTGTTCTGAGACTTGTCATTGTTTATTCTTCAGTTGTCAATAGAGATAATTAAATCCCTCTTTTGGGACCTGATTATAATTCCCCCTCCTATATGTAAGGCAGGTGACAATCCATTGTAAACTAGCCGGAAATGAAGCCTCAAGTAACAACTAATTAATACTTAAATAGCATTTTTAATATAATATATAAAGGTAATTTAACTAAAAGTTTTTTAACACATTTATTTTTATTAAATATTTGTAAAATACGCACTAGTTAAAAAAGCATTTATGGACAATATAATCCTTCTTTATCATATTAAGAATAAAATTTAGGGAACTTAATTATAAACAACGCGTATTATTAGACTGAGTCACTAACACACGTTAAACTTTGAACGACCTGGCCTCCCTAGAAAAAATATTATTGATATTTTTGGAAATTATATTTTATGGTTTAAATTTATTAAAATATTCCAGACGAAAGAACTTGTACAAAATTTAGAAAATTATACGAAAATTTAAAATGGATACATAACAATTTTAAATTATCAGCAGATGACACTATTTTTTTAAAAAAAAAATTTTACGCACAAATATTGCAACATAATATTTAATCTATTCCTTTTCATGATATTCGATTGATGGCATTTAATTTTTAAAATTTTCATCTAAATAATAATACCTGCAGGAATTCTACTCGCACTGTTTTTATAGTACCTCACAAGTGCTAAATGTAAGTTATTTATAAGGAAGGTTTTAGTTTTAAATATACGTATACTGTATACTTAATATTTGTTTTATAATTTTGTTCTTATTTTATTTTGATTGAGAAGAGAGAAAGAAAGAGGAAATGCAAGAATGATCTATAAATATAAAAAAGTTAAAAATAAAATTTAAAAATTTGTCAGTTTAATTTTTAAATAGCGCGGAACGGAACAATTATTTTTTGTGTGACCGACATAATTATTCTTATTATTCCTTGATTGCCCTCCTCGTTTTGAAAAGCCGCGTAACAGTATCTTCAACTTTACCAATTAGCAGCAAACCCGTGTGTCCCTTGGCTGCTCCTCTCTCAGATCTGGAGAGCCGTGTCTCCTTTCACTTCCTATTTCATAGCCCCAGCCTTGGGCAGCACGGTGATGAGCTTTCTAGAATCCTGCGCCTGGATTTCTCCTTTTAGGGATCTCCTTCTTCACTTCACCAGATTCCTCGTTATTCAGTTCAGTACAGGCGTAAATTAACCACCATGACGAAATCACGGCTAGTCTTCATTCCTGTTCCCGGTATTGGTCACGTTGTGTCCACCGTGGAATTCGCCAAGCTTCTCATTAACCATGACGATCGCTTTTCCGTCACCGTCTTCGTCATCAAGGCACCGAGCGCCGCCGACGTCGATGCTTACATCGACTCTCTCACTTCCTCTCCTAGCTTCCCCAAACGCCTTCACCTCCTACACCTCCCAGTTAACGAACCTCAGTCTGCTCAGCACCCACACCAGCTCATCCCAAACAGCATCCCCCTGGTCAAACAGGCTGCGTCCGACCTCATTCAAGAGTCCCACTCCAACCCGGACTCGCCCCGACTCGCCGCCTTCGTCGTCGACATGTTCTGCACCGCCATGATTGACGTTGCCAACGACCTGGGCGTTCCCGCCGTCGTCTTCTATACCTCCGGCGCTGCATTTCTTGGTCTGATGCTTCATCTTCACCCACTCAGGGAACAGGGTGTTCTCGACACGACGGCGCCTAACTTCAAGAATTCCGGCAAGGAGCTGAACATCCCGAGTTTTGCGAACCCGGTGCCCTCAAACGTCTTGCCCACAATCCTGCTGGAGAAGGAGTGGGAGGGATTTGTGGACGACTACGTCAAGGGTCTTCGGAAAGCGAAGGGTATTTTAGTAAATACGTTCGAGGAGCTTGAATTGCAGGCGGTTCACTCCCTCTCGAAAGGAAATACCAGGATTTATCCTGTGGGGCCCATCTTAAGTGCTAGGAATGATGAACAGCACGGATCCGATATCATGGAGTGGCTTGACCATCAACCTGAGTCATCGGTTCTGTTCCTGTGCTTCGGTAGCAGGGGTTATCTCGGTGGGGATCAGGTGAGGGAAGTAGCACGAGCTCTCGAGAACAGCGGGGTCCGCTTCTTGTGGTCCCTGCGAAAGCCTCCACCAGAGGGTTCAACAAGCATTACCGATTACTCTGACCCATCAGAGGTGTTGCCGGAGGGATTCCTAGATCGGACGGCGTGTATCGGAAAGGTGATCGGGTGGGCCCCTCAGGCACGAGTGCTGGGCCACAAGGCAGTGGGAGGATTTGTGTCCCACTGTGGGTGGAACTCTATTCTGGAAAGTGTATATTTTGGAGTGCCTGTGGCCACGTGGCCGCTGTCCGCAGAGCAACAACCTAATGCATTCGAACTGGTGCGGGAGTTGAAGATGGCGGTGGAGATATCATTGGACTATAGGTTGGATGTGAAGAAAAGAACCGCGTCGGGAGGGATAAGCGGGGAGAGGATAGAGAAAGGGATAAGGGAAGTGATGGAGAGAGGGAGTGAGGTGAGGAAGAAGGTGAAGGAGATGAGTGAGTTGAGTCGGAAGGCCCTAATGGAAGGTGGGTCCTCCTACTGTCACTTGGGCCGTTTCGTTGATGATATATTGAACGATAGGTTGTGAAGCTATCCAGATTGACGAAGACCCCGTTATATAACGACGCCGTTCCCTTGGATGATTTTGCGTCTCCCAGATCTTTACTTTTAACGTAATGATTTTGTATTGGCAGAAACAAAGAAGGTAACGGATTTGTTGCTTACGGGTATGGCGAGAAAGCTTATACATTCTTTCTATTTGTAATTTCATACTACCTCCGGTTCTAATTATAAGAACCAGTTGGCTAATTTGAGGAGATTAAGAAAGTAAATTAAGTTAGTTATTTGTCATAAATAGATGTTGTTTTTCTTAAAATATCCTTACTAATCAAGTGTATTGACTAGAAATATCATTATTAGAAGAGTTACTTTAAAAAAAATGTATAAATATGAGAGACAAAATAGATCGGGATCTTATATTTAGAACTAAAATAAAAATCAAACGGAGTTTTATATTAAGGACCGGAAATAGTATTACTGGTGCCTTATTCTCTAATTAAAGGAAATATTTACTTCGTTAAATGCAGCCACTAAAAATTGCTGTCAAATGTAAGTTCCTTTTTAATAAGAATGACAAAAAAGGCATCAATGAAAACAAGACGGCGTTCAAGAATGAGGGAAAAAAGAAATAAGAAAAAACGTAGAGTTATAGTTGATCCGCCTTTACGTCAGCTCCAATCATATGGCGTTATATGCATTTGCTCATCATCATCAAGTTAGTCAAATAACTTCAGTTATCGACATGTGTGCCATTCCAATCGTTGGATAGAATAGGTGGAGATGTTACTTTCTATATTCACATCGTTAAGTTTTTCGTACAGTTGTTTGATCATGCTCACATGTGAAATTTAAATAAATAACATGTTATGGTTCCTTTTGGATTGAATTACTTAGTAATCAAGATATAATTGACCAATTTAAAAAATAAAAAGTTATTAAATTATTTAGTTATAGCATATGTTACTTATTTTTGTAAAATACTTATATAAATCATCAGATTATATATCAATTTATAAGTATGATAAATTTGTTTAAAAAAAAATAATAAATATAAATAGTTTAAAGTGATTTATTAAATTTTTTAATTTTTTAAATTAGTCATATGAGTCCTAAATTAAACACGAGATAGTACTAATTTTGCATAGTTAACTTCATGTTAGACTTCCTCAATTTTTATTTTTATTATCAAAATTCAGCATATATAATTGCTTTTTCAGTGTACGAAAATTCAACGCAGGTCAAATTTAATGGATTCTCAAACACGGTTCCATATATAGGCCTGTTCTTTTTATCCGGACTGTATGTCAGCCAGTTGACAATCCACCGAAAACTAGTTGTAAATGAAGCCTCGATTAACAAGTGAAACATTTTTAGTAGGTTAAATAAAGTATACATTTATTCTTTTATTATCTTTATACAAGATTTTAATTTAATTCTTTAGCTTTAAAAAATATATTTTTAATCCTGTAATTCTAAAATTATCAACAAAAAATAATAATATTGAGATCTTAGATGTTAATAATATATTTTTCAATACTAGCATGTTAAGTTTAATTTTCAAAATAATCAAAATTGTTGCCAAAAATTATTGTTTAAATCTAATGATTTTATAGTTAAATGACTAAACTTATACTTTTAAAAATTAAAGGACAAAATTATAATATTATGTAAAGTTAAATAACTAAATATATACTCTAACCTTTTTAATACTCTTCCGGTTCTTAATGTAGAACCTAAAAACGAAGTTGACTTTGATTCTAAGTATAATACTTATTTCTAATAGTGGTCAATTTTTTCTAAATCACCTATATCAATACTCTATCAGACATAATCACGTAAAAAAGAGAGGTGGGATGTTATATAACATGATTAGGATATTTTTAAAAAATGTCATATTTATTGTAATTAACTAACTTACTTAAGCTTATTAATCTAATCAAATTAATTAAATAGGTATTATATCAAGGACCGGAGAAGTATAATATATATAGATAATTTAAATAAAAGTTTTTAAGGCATTCATTTTTATTAAATATTTGTAAAACACGCATGAGTTAAAAATGCATTTATGGATTATATAATCTTTTCATATTATATAAAGAATAAATTTATATGTTAATAATACTTAGATTAACATTATCGATATGAATGGACTTCGCTTTTTTTTTTTAATGAAATTAAAATAATCTATTTTACAAGTCCTAGAGCTGAGAATACAGGCCCACCCGCCACAACTCATGAGTTATACGGTGCGGGTTGAAGTAGCTTGCATTTTGGCTGGCTAAAAATATACCAACCCTGACCTGTTGCTAGCCCGTCATTTTTTTTTAATTCTTAATTTTTAAACCTTATTTTTTATTTAATTTTTTAAATTAATAAACAGTGATTCAAAATTTTAAAAACAGTCATGAGTATAAATTATGTTTAACTACATTTAAAATAGTCAATACACATATAAAACAATACATTATAAATATCTTATATGATTATCATTCCACATTAATTCATCAAGTGATAAATTCTACAATCTTTTCATATAAGTACAATATTTGATATAAAAAATTATCTCTTGATAAATTAGAAGTGCATCTATCTAATTTTTCTTAAAGTTCATTGATAATGTTTTTCTAAAACAATTTTTTTGTAATAAATATTGTCTTATATTTTATTGTAGTTGTTGAAGTTTTATTATAGATGTAGTATGTTATATTTTTTTTTTAATATTTTTGATTTAGATAGGCAACGTGAAAAATGAAATGTAAATGAGAAAATAAAATTTTCAGATATAATAACATATTATTTGTGTGAAAAAAAAAGTGGTTGGTTAGGAGGACTAACCCGCCAACCCACGGGTTATGCAGTGTCAGTTGGAATAACGTGTACCTTGGCGAGCTAGCAAATCACCAACACTAACCTGCTTCTTTGCGGCAGATTAGCCCGTAGGCCCCACCCATATTCTCAGTTCTATTTTACATGTATGTCTTTAGCAAAACCCAATATGTGCTTGCCAGATATTTGCGATGAACTGCTTCAAAATTTCTAAATTATTGTTTCTTAAATAGTCAAGATTAAATGTTGCTACCCTCGATCCTAATTATAAGAACTAGTTGACTAATTAATTTGAGAATGTTAAAGAAATAAGTTAAGTTAGTTATTTGTAATAAAAAGATAGTCTGTTTTAAAATGTCCTTACTATTCAAATGTATTGGTTAGAACTACTATTATTAGAAAGACTATCTTAAAAAAAATATAAAAATGTGAGAAAAATGTGAATTGAGGGCTTATATTTATTATTAAAATAAAAGCTAAATGAGATCTTAGTATATATTTTGCCAAGGTTTGACTTTTATCCCAGGGGATCTAATATCTGAAACTTGCGTAGGAGCCAATCATTTGTTCTTTTAGGGTTAAAAGAATAAGACAACGTAAATAAACACATAGGACCAATATGACTCTATATGTTGGAATGTTACCTGTATGTTGCAAAGTCCTGCGTGGACTTTATTAAAACAAAAACAAAGAAGATTGAGATGTTGGAAATGAACGTGCCTTTCTTCCCAGAATCTGAGAAGACGATCTTATAAAACTCAGTTAGATTGATAACAGGAATTGAATAATAACACTGCAAACAAAGGAAGCAGGGAAAATAAAATTGATAACAGGAAATACAGAGACTCTGAGCTTACGACTTTTAGCTTCCCATGTGCACTGTGGAATTCGGGATGCTCATTATATTTTGGGCTATGCGTCGAGAGGGTCATTGAACTCGAAAATGGAGGTCTCATTTAACTCCCAGGGACATAATGCCAATATTAAACAGCGCAGAGGGTATAACACTGAGTAACCACCACACGTTAAACTTTTTTTTTTTTTTTTGGGGTAAGTCAACAGTCAACACACGTTAAACTTTGACCTACCTGCTCTTCAGGAAGGACACATATTTTTCAGAAAAAATATTATTAATATTTTTGAAAAAGGGAATAAGTATTAAAATATCCAGATGAAGACACTTGTATAGAATTTTAGAAAATCACACGGTCATTTAAAATGGACAAAGAAAAATTTTAAGTTACCAGCAGATTACAGTAAATTTCTTTTAAAATTTTACATGCAAATATTGTCGCGTAATATTTATTTTATGCTATTTCTTCGGGTGTGTTTAGCATGAGAAAAATAGAGAGAACGAGAGAGGAAAAAAATTTTAATGAGCTTGTTTCAAAAGCTTGGAGAAGTGAAGAGTAAAAAAAAAAAATTAATTAACAAATTTTAACCTTATTTTTTTAATTTTGTAAAATAAACTTATTAAAAAAATTTCTGTCTTTTTTTTATTTTTTATTTTTCTCATATCAAACCAAACGGATTCTTAATACTTGATTGATGTCATTTACTACTCGTTTACTTTTTCATCTAAAATAATACCTGCAGCAATTCTACTCGTACTGTTTGATTACGCTCCAACCCTATAAATTTTTTTTGACCCACATAATTATTATTCTAAATATGAGTGGACTTCCTCGATTTGAAAAGTGGCGTAATATATTCCTTGCAGACCACGAATCTGAAATATCAGCACCTTCCCTGCCGCATCTTCAATTTCACCAATCACCAGCAAAGCCGTGTGCCCCTTTGCTTCCTCTCTCTCTCCCTCTCTCTCTCCCCCCAGTTTGAAGAGCCGTATTTCGCTTCTCATTTCCTAGCCCCAGCCTCACGCTAAGGGCTCCAATCTAGTATGCTTCAGCCTTGAGCAGCACGGCAACGAGCTTTCTAGAATCCTTCGCCTAGATTGCTCTTTTTTAAGTATCTCCTTCCCTTTTGCAGATTCCTCGTTATTCAGTTCAGTATTATAGGCGTATATCCACCATGACGAAATCACGGCTGGTCTTCATTCCTGCTCCCGGTATTGGTCACATCGTGTCCACTGTGGAGTTCGCCCAGCTTCTCATTAACCATGACGATCGATTTTCCGTCACCGTCTTCGTCATCAAGGCACCGAACGCAGCCGACGTCGATGCCTACATCGGCTCTCTCACTTCCTCTCCTACTTTCCCCAAAGGCCTTCACATCAGTCACCTCCCAACTCACGAATCTCAGTCTGCTCAGAAGTTACCCCAACTCATCCAAAACAGCATCCCCCTGGTCAAGCAGGCTGCGTCCGACCTCATTCAAGAGTCCCACTCCAACCCGGACTCGCCCCGACTCGCCGCCTTCGTCGTCGACATGTTCTGCACAGCCATGATCGACGTCGCCGATGACCTGGGGGTTCCCGCCGTCGTCTTCTACACCTCCGGTGCTGCATTTCTTGGTCTGATTCTTCATCTTCACCCACTCAGGGAACAGGGTGTTCTCGACACGACGGCGCCTAACTTCAAGGATTCCGGCACTGAGCTGAACATCCCGAGTTTTGCGAACCCGGTGCCCGCTAACGTCTTGCCCACAATCCTGCTGGAGAAGGAGTGGGAGGGATTTGTGGACGACTACGTCAAGGGTCTTCGGAAAGCGAAGGGTATTATAGTAAATACGTTCGAGGAGCTTGAACTGCAGGCGGTACACTACCTCTCGAAAGGAGATACCAGGATATATCCTGTGGGGCCCATGTTGAGCGCGAAAGATGATGAAACGGGTCAACGAGGATCGGACGTCATTGAGTGGCTTGATGATCAACCCGAGTCATCGGTTTTGTTCCTGTGCTTCGGGAGCATGGGCTATTTCGGTGGGGATCAAGTGAGAGAAATCGCAAGTGCACTCGAGAACAGTGGGGTCCGCTTCTTGTGGTCCCTGCGAAAGCCTCCACCAGAGGGTTCAACAAGCATTACCGATTACTCAGACCCATCAGAGGTGTTGCCGGAGGGGTTCATAGATCGGACGGACGGTATCGGGAAAGTGATAGGGTGGGCGCCGCAGGCGCAAGTGCTGGGCCACAACGCAGTGGGAGGATTTGTGTCTCACTGTGGGTGGAACTCTATCCTGGAAAGTGTATATTTTGGAGTGCCAATTGCCACGTGGCCACTGTACGCAGAGCAACAACCCAATGCGTTTCAACTGGCGCGAGAGTTGAAGATGGCGGTGGAGATATCATTGGATTATAGCATGGATCCCAGGAAAGGAAGCTCGTCGGAAGTGATAAATGGGAAGAGAATAGAGAAAGGCATAAAGGAAGTGATGGGGAAGGAGAGTGAGGTGAGGAAGAAGGTGAAGGAGATGAGTGAGTTGAGTCGGAAGGCACTGATGGAAGGTGGGTCCTCCTACTCTCACTTGGGTCGTTTCGTTGATGATATATTGAATGATAGGTTGTGAAGCCATCCACATTGTTTATTTATAAACAAGATTTTATCTTTAAAATTGAATGCATTGTACTGTTACGTAACCCGAGCGGTTTTACCCTGATGATTTTAGATGTCTATTCTCATCTTTATATCAATGAAAATAAAGAATTTTTCACTATTCTGTGCATTTTTATCGAGAAAATTACCATGTAATTCTGAAAAAAATTTAATTATAAAAAATTTGATTAGTGAAAATTTTCGATATAAAAAACGACAATAAGGTTGATATTGCTAACATTTTATTAAGATTCTTTTGAAAAAAAATATGCAGCTTGATGACCGGAACATAAAGTTAAAGAAATAATAATAATAATAATAAAAAAGCAATAGTAGAAACAAAACTCACGCTGTCATGCCCACGACGGGAACAATAATAAAAACGAAGAAAGGAAATACGATGTTGATCTCTCCCACTAATTTACTCAAGACAACAACATTGCAATAATACTTCTCTTTTCCATGGTCCAAGTAGCATATTTTATGTATGGACGAGAGAATGGTGCGGAGGACTCACCCTGACAGCAACCACAAGCTTACTTATGATAGATTCATTTCCAAGGTATGTGGCTTGCATGCTTTGGTTATTAGATCATGAAATAAAATAAGTATATTAATGCTTTTTTTAATTTGCAGCTTATATACCGTGTCATAAAAATGAAAAACTTGTATTGATAGGTGCCGATTCCACCTTATAATGTGTTTCCACACTGTTGTAACATTATTAAAATTCATGATATCCAACTAAAATAATACCAAGTTACAACTTAATTTACATCTTTGTTTGTCTGTGTTTTTCTAGATAAAAAACAGAGCTAATAAATTAATGTGGTGACATCGTACTTGATTGCCCTTTCCAACCTTTGCCGGACATTTCTTGCCTTCGCCCTGTTCCCTGCCTTTGCAGTACCTTTCTTGCCAGTGCCTTCGCCAAACCACTGTGTGTTTTTACTATTGGTGCATTTTTTAAACTCATTTATTTGTCTTTTTTTTTTCCTGGATAAGATCCATATATTCATGAACAACATTCATATCCTGTCCTGATTAATGTTTAAACATTATTAAAGAAAAAAGGATGAGCTCTTTTTTTCATTGCAGTATTTCATTTGCATTTTTCTTGCGTAGTCAATTGTAATTCAGCTTCCAGCCAAGTGGAAAACTCAGTTGAATAAAAGGGAACTGAGGTTTACAAAAGAAGGCAGACCTCCACCTCTTGGACAATATAATCAAAATCCACAGACAGACACCCACGTTCAGTCTCCAACACTAGCACAGACGCATTCCATTTCACGGCACAGAGAAGCACAGAGAACAAGACATAGAGAAAAAAGAGAGAATGGGAAGCACAAGCAACAATGTGGAAATGGGTAAGGAGAGATTAACGGCTCAGATGGGTTATGGCTAATCAAAATCCGGCGACGCTTACGGGACTTCCCACGGTCCGTCAAGCTCGAGCACGTCAAGTTGGGTTATGGCTACTCATGCAACGTAGCCACCGTCCTCAAGCTACGTCAAGTTTATTCTCATATATATATATATATCAATAAAAATAAAGAAATTTCATTTCTCTATGCTTCTTTATCGAGAAAATCACCACGTAATTATAATTAGAAAGAAGTCTGATGACATAGGTTAGTGACAAATTTCATTACAAAAACTGACAATAAGGTTGATATTGCTAACTTTTTATCAAAATTCTTTTAATGCTTGCATCTTTTTTCTTTCTTTCTTTCTTTCTTTTCCCCAAAGAAGTCAAAGTTATTTTTCCAAGTTTGTGCTGTTTTAGCATTCACCTGTCACCTTCTGGCTTCAGCAGTTTGCTTCGCAATCTCTCTTTTCTCTCTCAATTGAAGTACAGATCCAGGTCTCTCTACCAAACAGAATCCAACTTTTTAGCATTCGAGTGATTTTACTTGAATGCGATTGGCCTGCACCTCCACCTACACGCTTATCCACTTAGACTTGGGGCAAGTCGGCAAGATGAGGAGTGAATTATGGAACGTCGTGGACATACATGTTGGAGCAAAAATAATAATGATTCATCAGCCAAAATTTTCATACAAAGCGAAAGCACCTCTATTATTGTTCAGCATTAGTACTATTCACATGATCAGGTGCAGTCGCCCACCCTGCCCCTTGTCAATAAATGATCTTGTCGTCACCCAAACACTAACAAATCACTTCTTGTAATTATTCCCACTATTTAAATGAACGTACATATATGTTCGCGCACACATATATGAAAAGCTCCAGAGATAAGCTAACTAGTTAAGTTACTAACTTCATCAAAAACTAATTAACAGAATATTAACCACTTTCGGGTATAGTACGTATCAGTTCGTTACCATCTTTTACGCATCGTCCGTATATCTAAACACATTTGCCCACACAACTTAAACCTGAACACTTACTATATATACCAAAGACAAGTGGCTTCGCACTCATGTAGCTCTGGTCGCAATATCACCATCACAACAAGCAGCAGACTGATTCAGTGTTCACTTCCACTCACCAGATGAACACCGACTCGCAACTAGTGCTCGTTCCCTCACCAGGCATGGGTCACCTAGTGCCCGCCGTCGAGTTCGCTAAGCTTCTCATCGACCGCCATCACCGCCTCACCATCACCCTCCTCATCATCACACAACCATCTGATCCCACCGTCGGAGCCTACACTCTCTCCCTCACTTCCTCATTGTCCTTCCCAAAACGTCTTCACTTTGTTCTCCTTCCTCCCCTCCCTGACCCTACCAACTCTCACTCTCTTCATCCATCTGCCGTTTTGGACTCTCGCATTCAAGACCAGAAACCCAATGTCAGAGATGCTGTGTCCAAACTCAAGTCGGATCCCTACTCGCCACGGCTCGCTGGGTTCATTGTGGACGTCTTCTGCACAGCCATGATTGATGTGGCCACCGAGTTCGGGGTTCCCACCATTGTGTTCTTCACCTCGGGCGCTGCTTTTCTAAGGTTCAAGCTTCATACTCACACGCTCTGGGAGCAAGAGAAGGTAGACACGACCGCGTTTGACTTGGTGGACTCGGGCTCTGAGTTTGCCATCCCGAGTTTCGTGAACCGTGTTCCTGTTAGTGTTTTCCCTGGGATTTCGTTGGACAGGCAGTGGAAGCTATTTTTCTTCAATCACACAAGCAGGATGAAGAAGGCAAAGGGCATCATAGTAAACACGTTCGAGGAGCTTGAATCCCATGCCGTCCGATCTTTCTCAAAGAGTGATTTCACCATTTATCCCGTCGGACCCATCTTAAGCGGCAGAGGGGACAAAAGAACAGTTCCAAAAGGATCAGACGTCATGCAGTGGCTTGATGATCAACCTCCTTCGTCTGTTCTATTCTTGTGCTTCGGAAGTAGGGGTTGTTTCGAGGAGGAAGATCAAGTGACAGAGATCGCACGCGCTCTTGAAACAAGTGGGGTCCCGTTCGTGTGGTCTTTACGGAAGCCCCCGCCCGAGGGTTCCATGGAACCGCCAAGCGATTACTCTGAACTGGAACAACTATCACTATTTCCGGAGGGATTCCTAGAGAGGACATGTGAGAATGGAAGAGTGATAGGCTGGGCTCCACAGGCCCAAATTCTGGCTCACAGAGCAATAGGAGGCTTTGTGTCGCATTGCGGGTGGAATTCCATCCTGGAAAGTGTATATTACGGCGTGCCCATTGCGACGTGGCCGCTTGCTGCGGAGCAACAATTAAACGCATTTCAACTTGTGCGTGAGTTGAAGCTGGGGGTGGAGATCTGCCTGGATTACAGGAGAGGATGGAGCAGTGTGGTAAGTGCAGGGAGAATAGAGAAAGGCATAAAGGAAGTGATGCAGAAGGAGAGTGAGGTGAGGAAGAAGGTGAAGCTGATGAGTGAGATGAGTAAGAGGGCTTTAATGGAGGGAGGATCTTCCTACTCTTGCTTGGGCCGTTTCATAGACGATGTGCTGAATAATAGGATTTGAGGCTACGCAGATTGATGAAGACCACCTCGTTTTCTCGCATATTTTGTGTTTGCTTCCTTACTTGCAACCGGCAAAGTTAGCTGCCAGGTCATCTTTGTCAGTTGATTTTTTTGCTTTTTTTTTTCAATAAAAGTTGTGGCTTTCAATATATAGGTTTATTTTTAAAATTTAAAATAATTGCTTGTGGGAGTATTAATGGTGAACGTCTCCACCTGAAATGAATACTTCACCAAAAAACAGAATGAGCACATTGTTAATGGAACGTAAATAAGAGGAAATGGAGAGTGAGTACTGTGAGGTGAGGAAGAAGGTCAAGGCGCGACAAGCAATTAAGCATACTTCAGAGATAATGTTGCGGTGCTTTTCGTTTGCCAGACCCAAAATTTTTTCCAAATTCTTCCGTAGGAGACTTTTATAATCACCACATTACAACTCTTCTCACAAAACTTTAGCTTCCCATGTGCAATTATAAAGAACGTGGAATTCGGGATGCTTGCCGTCAAAAAGATTCATTATTTATTACTTCTCCTGTACTTAATATAAGACCTATTTAACTAATTTGATTAAATTAAAAAATTTAAATAATTTGGTTAATTATAAGAAATATGACATGTTTTTCTGAAAATACCATAATCATATTTCTTAATATCTTCCCTCCCTCTTCTACTTGATTATGGTAAAAGAAATATCTACAAGGGTAATTTAGAAAAAACTGATAAATATGATAAATATGTCTTATATTTATGACTAAAATTAACTTAATAATTAGGTCCTATATTAAGAACCAGAGAGTATTATTTGGGCTAAATGTCAAAAGGTTCATTGAAGTCGGAAGGCTTAGATGAATTTAAAATTTAATTTTAACGCAAAATTTAGGTTTCTTTTAACCCTCGGGAACAAAGTTGTTATTCTACAGTGCACAGGAGAGCGTTACCCTGAGTTACTAACACATGTTAAACTTTGACCTATCTGGTCGTTGAGGTTTATTTCTGGAGAAAATGAAAAAAAAAATAATTTATATCAATGTAACAAATGATTACAAAATTTAAAAGAATAATGAATCGTAAAATTAAATTATGAATGATATTTTTTAAAAAAATATTATTGATATTTTTGGAAATTATATTTTATGGTTTAATATTTATTGTATACTTTTTTTGTTAATATTTGATACCAATTAGCAGACTATTTTATAGCGTGCAACATCTACACCCATTATTCCACAGTCAAACCATAATGCGCGTCCCCAGTTTTACCAATTAGCAGCAAAGCCGTGTGTTGCTTTGCCTCCTCTTCCTGACGATATTTGAAGAGCCGGGTTTCACTTCTTACTTCTTCGCCCCAATCCTTGAGCTGCACGGCGATGATGAGTTCTCTATAGAATCCTACGCTTAATTAGATTGCTCTTTCTAAGTATCTCCTTCGCTGTTCGGTTCAGTAAGACATAAACATCTCCGCGATGACGAAGTCACGGCTAGTGTTCATTCCTGCTCCCGGTATGGGTCACCTCGTGTCCACCGTGGAGTTTGCCAAATTTCTCATCGACCACGACCACCGTTTCTCCATCACCGTCTTCGTCGTCAGGGCACCAGGTGCCACCAACGTCGATGCCTACACCGACTCTCTCACTTCCTCTCCTAATTTCCCCAAGCGCCTTCAGCTCATTCACCTCCCAATTCACGAATCTCAGTCTGCTCCGTATTTACATCAACTCGTCCAAAACAGCATACCCCTCCTCAAACAGGCTCTGTTCGACCTCATTCAAGAGTCCCACTCCAACCCGGACTCTCCCCGACTCGCCGCATTGGTTGTCGACATGTTCTGCACCGCAATGATCGACGTCGCCAACGACCTGGGGGTTCCCGCCGTCGTCTTCTACACCTCCGGCGCTGCATATCTTGGTTTGATGCTTCATCTTCACGCACTGCGGGAACAGGGTATCTACGACACGACGGCGCCTAACTTCAAGGATTCCGGCACCGAGCTGATCATCCCGAGTTTTGCGAACCCGGTGCCAGCCAACGTTTTGCCCTCAGGAGTCCTGGAGAAGGAGTGGGAGGGTTTTGTGGACGAGTACGTCAGGGGTCTTCGTAAATCAAACGGTATCATCGTAAATACGTTGGAGGAACTTGAATCGCAGGCGATTCACTCGCTCTCGGAAGGAGGTACCCGGATCTATCCTGTGGGGCCCATCTTAAGTGCGAAGGATGATGAAAGGCGTCAACAAGGATCGGACATCATTGAGTGGCTTGACGATCAACCCGAGTCATCGGTTTTGTTCCTGTGCTTCGGGAGCCGGGGTTGTTTCGGTGAGGATCAAGTGAGAGAAATCGCATCCGCTCTGGAGAACAGTGGGGTCCGCTTCTTGTGGTCTCTGCGAAAGCCCCCGCGGGAGGGTTCAAAAGGCATCACCGATTACTCAGACCCAGAAGAGGTGTTGCCGGCGGGGTTCTTAGATCGGACGGCGGGCATAGGAAAAGTCATCGGGTGGGCCCCCCAGGCTCGAGTACTGGGCCACAAAGCGGTGGGGGGATTTGTATCCCACTGTGGGTGGAACTCCATCCTGGAAAGTGTGTATTTTGGAGTGCCAGTTGCGACGTGGCCGCTGTACGCAGAGCAACAAGCCAACGCCTTCGAACTGGTCCATGAGTTGAAGATAGGCGTAGAGATCTCATTGGATTATAGGATGAACTTCAAGAATGGAAGCAACTCGGGAATGATAAGTGGGGAGAGAATAGAGAAAGGGATAAAGGAGGTGATGAAGAGAGAAAGTGAGAGGAGGAAGAAGGTGAAGGAGATGAGTGAGCTGAGTCGGAAGGCATTAATGGAGGGTGGATCTTCTTTCTCGCACTTGGGCCGTTTTATTGATGATGTACTGAATAACAGGATGTTGAATCTATCCTGATTTAGAAGACCACGACACTTCTGTACTTCTTGTTACTCATATAACGACGTCGTTTCCTTGCCGAATTACTTGTGTTTTCTGAATTCACTTCGTGTATCAATTTTAGTAAGAATAGTCATATGAAATTAACCAAGTGTTTGCTTTGAAATGCCATAAAGTTATTTTCATCAAATGTCATTATAGATTGTTTAGTTGAGATCTGAACTACTATTTGATATAATTTTTCTCAAGAAATTGGATATGTCAATAGTTGGCTAAAGAAAAAAAGCAAGCATCATAATTTTTTTGTACATTATAAATGGTTAATTGAGTCTGCTCATCTTGGATTTCTGTGACCAAGAATTACTTACTGTTGTTCATAAATAAGTGTGACAAAAAACCTATTTTCTATGTTATGCCATAAGTGTTATCCGCGTGTGCGTGTGCGTGTGCGTGTGCGTGTGTGTTTGTTATTTATAAAGCTTATAGCATTGCCTAGATACTGTACATGGCACAAACAGATTTGAAACACACACTTCACTGAGAGAATTAGATCGCGATGAGGGCAAGGAGTGAGTTATTAGTTATATATGGAAGAAGCATTGACGGAGAAAATGTTGTCAAGACTTATTATAACCGCTGATAAATATGTCATCATAAGTGTAAGTCACTTATGTTATATTTAATATTCTTTCGGTCCTAAATATAAGAACCTTATACACACTAGTATAAAGGTCTTATATTTATGACCGGAGGAGTACTTGATTCCCAATTTCATCATTAATTAATTCTTATTAAAAAAAATAAGAGAAAAAGATATGAGAGAATGACATTTAAATGTGGAGAGAGAGAAACTTTAATAAGAATAAAATTAAAAAGATTTGTTAATTTAATACATTTCTTAGTACGATAGTGTTACACGCGACTTATGTATTAAGAACCAGCGTGGTATGGTGTGTGTGTATTTTTTTTTTTTTTATTACCAGAGAAGATGCGTTCATTAAAAGCCAAACGGAAAGGGAAGGTCCAACAAAAGCAAGAAATAAACGCAGCGCTAGAAGAAAGATAAAACACCAAGGCCGAGGCACATCAGCCTATCCCTTCCCTGTTTGCATCTAAGAAGAGCTGGTACTCACAATCTGGTTCAACGTCTGAAGCTTCCCGACGGAGGATAGAAGCTAGAGGAGGTGGTGATTCAAAGATCAGACCGTTAGGTCCCAACTCCCTTAAAGCTAAGGCAGCCAAAGCATCGGCAGCAACATTTCCTGCTCGAGGAATTAGAGAAAAGGAGATGCAACGTCATTCCTGCAACAGATCAAAGATATCAGATACTAAGCTGTGAACAGTCCAGGGACAACCATGGAAGCTTTTAGAGGTAAAGGACCTGAATAATTCCTTACAATCCATCTCTATGATAATAGATAAGTGCCTCCAATCATTAGCTAACAACACAGCTTTAGCAGCAGCGAGGATTTCAGCATGGATAGCAGACTGGGCTTGTACATGTTCCATCCACCCTTTCAAAAAAGATCCTTTGCTATCTCTGCACACAACACCAATTCCAGCTTTATGATCTTTACTATTGAAAGCACCATCAGAGTTAATCTTGATTGTTGGAGACTGAGGTTTCCTCCACTTAATTAAAGGTTTGGAGACCCCAGTACTTGGTGCTGCAGCGTCTGGAATATTTACCTCCCAATATTCTTGTAGACTTCTATTTGTTAACTCAATAATAGTAGAAGGATTAGGCTGTTCCTGTTCAAAAACACATCTGCATCGAAGCTTCCATATATGCCAGCACATAGTTGCCACATAGGCACTTCTATAATCCGGTTCATCAACATCAGTAAGCATAAATTGTTCCAGCCAAAAGTCAAAACTTGTAATAGAGGCATGATTAATGAGAAGACCCAAAGCACAACCAAACCAGGCCACTTTAACCCAATCACAAAGAAGAAATAAATGCTCAATAGTTTCAGAAGCATCACCACACGCAGGACAAACAGGGTGTGGGGAGCATTTTCTTTTGTATAGGGCATCCTTAGTGGCAATCACTTGATTCAAAATTCGCCAAATAAAGTTTCTAATTTTTGGTGCTACTTTCAGCTTCCATACTGCAGCCCAAATCCTTGTATCCACCTTACGGGATGTGGAGGCTCGAACAGATAACATATTATCATTAGAGGCAGACAAAGCTGCTCTATAGCCTTTACGCACATTGTAATTCCCATCCTTTGCTGCTGCCCAAATTAATTATCATCCCGGGGTATGGCAGAAAGATGTATAGCCTGGACTTTATCAACGAAACTTTGTTCAGTACAGTCTGAGATCGATGAGAGATTCCACTGCCTTCTCTCTATTAAATCAGACACAAGGGAGTCCGGGTTGACAATAGCATTCGAGTTTGGGGCTAATAGAAATTTCTTAGCACCAGCAATCCACGGATCTTTCCAGATTTGAATGCTGTGGCCATTACCAACTTGCCAGCACAGGTTTTTCTTTAAAAATTCTCTACCCGTTAGGATACTGTCCCAAACCCATGAGGCTTTGTGCTCCTTTTCGGCCTTCATAAAAGAAGTTGTAGGGAAATACAAGCTCTTCAGAACCTTTACCCAAAGGCTCTCAGGTTGATGAATAATTCTCCAGGCCGTTTTAGCTAGCAGAGCGTCATTGAACCCCATGAAGTCCTTAAAACCCATACCTCCCTCTTTCTTCGATTTACTTAAAGATTTCCACGCAACCCAATGAACTTTCCCTCCTACGTGGAGTTGCCCCAGAAAAAATTTGAGACTAGACTGTCAAGAGCTGCACAAGTCTGCTGGGGGAATTTAAAACATAACATGGGATATATAGGAATAGCATTTATAACGTGTGTGTGTATTATTGATTCTAGAAATTCTGGACATGCATATTTGTTCGGGCAAAATAAAAATAATGTTAGCTTATTGATAAGCATTAATACTGTTCACATGCGTCGCAGTCGCCCACCCCCTTGTCAGTAAATGATCCTATATAGTCAACGCAATACTCGATAAATGATTTCTGCATGAAAAAGCTGTTAATATTTTGTTATTTAATTCTTAACTAACTAAGTTTAGTTACTAAAGTTGGGTAGTTTAGTTATGCAGCTTGACCCGTGTGTGTTCACTCCTCACAACTGTGAATAATGCAGTGTCACCATTTTCCAACACTGCTCTGCTCACAGTATCATCACTAAGAGAAATCTCGGTGAAGAGTACGTAAGGCGTGTAAGACAATGTCAGTAGACGAAAGTGGAATTTTATGTTTTTCTACGGATTTCTTTCTTCTTCATCCATGAAACAATAATGTTCTAATTGCACGGGGATCGGAGTTGCGGCTGTCCCTCTCAACGCAACGTTTTTTACTCGAGATTTGAGAATGTGATGAAACATAATCCCCCCATGCCCGCACGTTAGGATTTGTTTGGTTGGAAGGAGGGAGAGGAGAGGGAAAATGAGCCCCTCCTCTCATTTGGTTAAAAATTTTAGAGGGGAGGGGAGCTAAAATGTTCTCTCCCCTCTCTTCTCTCTTCCATTTTAGCTCCTCTTTAAATTGGGATTTTGGAGGGGAGTCAAATTTTGGACTATTATATCCTTATAGACTTTTTAATATTCCACTTCTATCCATAAAATATATTATTATAATATTTATTTCAAATAAAAAATATATCATTCTAAGTAAAAAAAAAAAAATACAATATTATAATTAAAAATATATTATAAAAAATTATTTAAATAAAAAATTATAATATTATAAAATTAATTGTTTTTTATAAATATATTATTTATTAAATATATTTTAAAGTTGGAAAAAAAGATACATAAAGAGAATAAAATTTCATTTTTCTTAGAGTATATAAAATGTGTTAATTTGATTATTTTAAATATATTATTATATTGATTAGAATAAAAAATTACTATGCCAATTTTTTAATACATATATTAACATGATAAGACTGAATTTTTATTAAATTATATAATTTAAATTAAGAGGTAAATTAATTTATATAATATATCAATAAAAAACATAAACTAATATATAAGGGTAAAATGGTAAATTGATTATTACTATCTCTCCCCTCCCTTCCTTGAACCAAACAATGGATCATTAAATATCCTCCCCTTCCTTTCATTTTAATCAAACCAAATAAGGTGAGGATAAAACCTCCCCTCTCCCTCCCTTCCTTCCCTCCAAACAGGTCCTAAGAGAAAGAGGATACATAGAAGGTTCCAACTTCCCCCGCCACGTGTAGTAAAGAGACTGCGCTTCCTTGATGCCCTCCTTCACTCTATGTTACTCACTTGAATTTTAACAGCAGATTACTAATCAGGTAATGTTTAGTTTCAGGTCCCAATTTCTGCCCTCACCAAATATTATCTCCGGTCCTTAACATAAAAATTAATTTAATATTTAATTTAGTCATACAATATAGGACTCAAATCATTTTGTCTTTTATGTTTATCAACTTTTTTCAAAACAATCTTTGTAATAGTTGCACATATCAAAAATTCTATCAAATTATAGTTTTAGCTAATACACATGATTAGCAATGATATTTTGAGAAAGACAACATTTATTTATTACAAATAACGAACTTAATAAACTTTTTTAATCTATTTAAATTAATCAACTAACTTTTGTTTAAAAAAAAAAAACGAGAGGTAGTATCACACTGGGAGATGCTTATGGATGGAAAAATGATTTTATGATCCAAACTTCCTACAAATATGATATTTTTTATATAATAGCCAATAGGGAACTTTTAACTGAATATATAATTTGTATCGAGCGTTCGCCATCGAGCGATTGGAAAAGCAAGGGCAAGATTTCAAAAAATAGCAAAACCTTTTTGACATTCTCTGCCAACCCATCTTTTAGGCTTTCATAGCTGTCAACAACTTTCGGAATTTTTTAGTTTAATTATTTATATAAACCAGAATTATAACAACGCATCATGTAATAGTTTGCGATTGATCAGTTCCCAAAATTTATTAGCATGTGACGTTAAAAACGACCTTCTTCAATTCATTCTTCGAGTTCCAAATATTTGATATCCAAATATGTAAACCAACTTTCAAGATTCAACACAACACATAAAAAGAACTTGAATAAAGATTTTTAAGGAAGTTAACTTCAATTTTGAACTAAATAAG